GATGAATATGGCATGAACTGCATGCTCTGTTTAAATACTTGAGTAAGCTTGTGTATCTACTGAAAGTATTGAAGAATTTGGAAGATACTGATGATCCAATTAACTGCAGAAATTTCAGTGTATAGTTAAATATAAATGGTTGTTATACATAACAAATAGTTTCCACGGGCATATTAGTATGAGAAGGTGTATTTCATTTTTGTATTAGTATGTGATGCAATCACCTCGATATTAGTATGTGAAGGTGTATTTTATTTTTGTATATGTAACTGTGTTATGTAACAGTGTTTTTTTGACGTGATCAAAAATATTTGAGCTATATAAATGTAACTCAATTCTTTTGTATTTTCATGTCTTGACATTTGAACTTTAATTTTGTTGAGAATGATAGATTATTCATTCAACTAAAAAAATATATGAATAAGCTGTTTACAAAACGCACAAACAAACTGCTAAACAATTTATCCAAAACAGAGTCAGAGTGTTCATTTATGTAGAATAAGCTCAAACGTAAAAGTTAAACAATCAACCAGCTTATTCGGATTAGCTGCTCAGATTATCAGGATACCGCTTGACCCAAACCAGCTTCTTGTCCGAATCAACCCTAATACAGAGGATCATCCATATTTTCATCGCTTATCCATCCGAGCTCTTTTTTACTCACCGGAAACACCATTTTCTGGAGATTGCTGATTAAAATTCTTCCAATCTGGTTTGTGTCCGGAAAATCCTCCGCGATCGGAGAGATGGAGAGAGTGGTGAGGTACGGCATCATCGGCGTGGGAATGATGGGGAGGGAACACATGTTTAATCTTTCCTACCTCCGCGGCGAGGGCGCCGTTCTCACCTCTGTCGGCGATCCCCATCCTCCTTCCCTCGACCTTGCAGTCGACCTTGCCCATTCTTTGCAGCTCCCTCCTCTCCAGGTATTCTGGCTGACCTGTTTTATCTTGGATTGCTTAAAACTTCGTATTTGCTGTTTAAGTAAGCTGGTGTGTGATCGGAGAGCACATTTCAACCATTCAAAGCAATTTAACAGAAAATATGAATGATTCGCAACCTGATGGATCAAATTATCCACATGATTCAAAACTCAAATTACCCAAAAAAAACAAAGAATTCATAAAACAGAAAAATCATGCAGCATGTATAAGGAGTAAAACAGAGTATTAAATGTAACGACTACAAGCACAATTAGGGATTCTAGTGGTTGGTGGAGCCTTCTTTTCGGAGAGACAACTTACGCCCAACGCCGCCGGAGCGGCGAGATAGAGGAAGTTTGTGACGAAAAATAATACATCACCATAGGATGAGAACTCATTTAAAACTTAACAATGTCCCTTTGCTAGACCTCTCTCTGCTCCTTCCCACCCATTAATCCATAAGCTAATAAATTAATACGCATAGATTTACCAAGAAATCGCACATTTCAACCATTCAAAGCAATTTAACAGAAAATATGAATGATTCGCAACCTGATGGATCAAATTATCCACATGATTCAAAACTCAAATTACCCAAAAAAAACAAAGAATTCATAAAACAGAAAAATCATGCAGCATGTATAAGGAGTAAAACAGAGTATTAAATGTAACGACTACAAGCACAATTAGGGATTCTAGTGGTTGTTGCAGCATCATTTGCGTAGAGACAACTTACGCCCAACGCCGCCGGAGCGGCGAGATGGAAGTTTGTGACGAAAAATAATACATCACCATAGGATGAGAACTCATTTAAAACTTAACAATGTCCCTTTGCTAGACCTCTCTCTGCTCCTTCCCACCCATTAATCCATAAGCTAATAAATTAATACGCATAGATTTACCAAGAAATCACACATTTCAACCATTCAAAACAATTTAACAGAACATATGAATCAAATTATCCACATGATTCAAAACTCAAATTACCCAAAAAAAACAAAGAATTCATAAAACAGAAAAATCATGCAGCATGTATAAGGAGTAAAACAGAGTATTAAATGTAACGACTACAAGCACAATTAGGGATTCTAGTGGTTGTTGCAGCATCATTTGCGTAGAGACAACTTACGCCCAACGCCGCCGGAGCGGCGAGATAGAAGTTTGTGCACACCGTGAGTGGAGTGAGAAGGTGACGAAGGAGTAACCAACCTTGGATCGCATTATGCAATTTGATTAGGGTTTCCGCGGCCGAGCTGAACGGAAGAAGCATGATGTTTGGGAAATTTGCATGCATCCCACAAAATTTTTATATATTTATGTAAATAATATTTAAAATTTGATATTTATAATTATATCACCTTGGTGTCGTAAATTAATTAAAAAATTTACAATTCTTCTTTAAAAAATTAATAATGATGATAATATAATATTAATGTTTT